TCATAATTTCATAATGTGACTCATAAATGTTATCATTATGCAACTATGCAATTCTAAGTATCTTTATTATTTTTATTATGTCTTTGTAAAAAACAGAGAAAATAATAATTTTTAATGATATTTTTTACTATTTTAATATTTACAATAGTTTTTAACAATTTTTTTAGAAGTTATTAAAGGTTAAAATAGGTATAGAAATTGTAGATTCCAAATGGGATAATTTCTTTTATTATTAGGATAGATAGAAGAATAAGTATTTATTTACTTAAGTTAAGAAGATAATTGGTGAGATTAATGCTAAAGAACAAATACTTATTTATTTGGTAGGTATTGAGCAAGATTTTTTTTATTATCATAAAAGTATAAACTCTTAATGAATTTGACTTTTAAATCAATGGCACAAAAGAAAAGACTCATAAGATAAAAAAAGCTAAAATACAATTTAAGATCAAATAAACGAGCTACTGAAGGACAAATTCATCATAGAAATTAATTGAGTATGTTACTTGAGTAGAAAATATTTTCATAATGAAAAATTTTAATGAAAAATTGGAGAACGTACATCAATTACATATACCTTAACAAAGTTTACCTAAATAACTCATTTTTTCCCATCATTGATAAGGTAGTAAACTACACCTTTAGCTTCAAGTTTCTATCATTTATGGATGCTTATTTTAGTTATTACCAGATACTAGTGTTTGTCGAAGATAATGTTAAAAATGCCTTCATAAAGGATAATAAAGTATTTTAGACAAAATGTTGAGGTGATATATTAGAGAATGAAAATCAAAGTCTTTGGTGCAATAATGAGGGAATATGCTAACGTATATGTGAATGACATCATTGTCCAAATCTTAACTTACGAAACTATGTGAGATATTTGGAAAAGATCTTCAATCAAATTAGGTAGTATAACATGCATTTGAACCCACTTAAATGCATACTTGAAGTACTTTATGACATTCCTAGGTTATATGTCGACAAGTAAAAGGATTAAGGCGAAACTATGTGAGATATTTGGAAAAGATCTTCAATCAAATTAGGTAGTATAACATGCATTTGAACCCACTTAAATGCATACTTGAAGTACTTTATGACATTCCTAGGTTATATGTGGACAAGTAAAAGGATTAAGGCAAACCCAAAAGAAGATGCAAGTTAGTTTTAAGAAATGTAGAGATTGAAGTAAAAAATGAAGGTACAATAGTTGTTGGGACAAATTACAAGTCTAACTTGATTACTAGCCAAAGTAACTCATGTTCCACTTTTTTTTTTTTTTTTACAACTTCTTGAAAAAATGGGAAGGTTTTTCATTGGAGCAAAAAAAGTGCATTTTCCCGTTAGGAGTTGAAAAAGGTGTGGGCTAGCCCACCAACATTAGTTTGACTTGATACAAGAGAAATGTTAATGGTATATTGTTGAGTGTCTTTTATTCATGAAGTGCACTCAACTTTTAGCACTCTTTTTGGAAAAATTGTAAATATATATATGATAATTTACCTCTAATTAGGAATAATCAAGTTTATATTAGAAAGATAGAAGAGTAGTAGAGAATTTATGATGAGTTCCCTCCTTTTTTGCAGAAAATTTTGGAAGACAAGGTTCCACGGCCATAGCTGTGGTTCTGGAGCTATAGCTGTGGAAATCTAGGGAGAAATCAGTAGGTCAGAAAGTTGCAGCTATAGCTGTGGTTCTGCAACTATAGCTGTGAAAATCTGGAATGCAAATTTAGGGGTTCAGAGAGTTGAAGATAAAGTTGTGGGCTCACATCTTGAGCCATGGAACACTAATGATTGAGAGAGAGCACCAGAGAGTCACAACCATAGCTGTGAAATTCACAGCTACAACATTGGAGGTTCCTTAAGCTTGAAGGAGTTTTCATAGCTATGGCTATGAAACCATAGTTGCAGCTGTGAAACTTACTTCACCTTGAAGAACTCTCCACAATCATAGCTGTGATTCTATAACTGCAGTGGTGGGCTTAAAAGTTGCAATTCCTCCCCTGTTTTGAAGCTAATATAAAAGGGAAATAGAAGAACTTGGGGGCATCACGATCACTGAGAAAAAAATAGGATTGGGAGGACGAAAAGAGGGAAGAACAAGGGAAGAACAAAGATTTGGAAGCTGAATCCTTTGGGAACGAAGATCAACTCCATTTCTGCATCTTTTACTTTTTAATTTCTTCTTTCACTCTTTTTATCTTTTAATTTCCATTTGTTGCTAAACTCAGTTAGTATTGTGTGGATGTAACTACTAACTCTTCTTCTTCTTAAATATATGCATTTTAATCTCATTATTTGTGCTTGATTCTTCACTTAATGCTTGTAGCAGTTTGATCACCCGTTGTATGATTTTGGTTTTTGAATCCAGTTGGAAAAAGTTTTTGAAAACCTGAACTGAATCTTGCACCTACCATCTCTTGTTCTAGGAATAGACTTGATTTGGTTAGTCACCTTTGTTCAAGTCATTGTTCCTAATGCGAAGTGTTAAACTTAAAATATAGAGGAATCATGTTTTAAGATTAATTACTTTAGGATTCAACTTTGAGGAATCTTGTTGGATTACTAAATGAACGTGGAGGTAATGAAATTGAAATCATATTTATTTTAAGAAGATTTAAGAGTTAGCAAGTGCTCCTAAACTCAATCCTTGCTTCTCATAATTGTTCTTACAATTTTTATTTTATCGTTTTATTTTACATCACATTAACTCATTTGCAATCACATCAATGTCTTTATATAAATCATTAGAGTAAGAATTACTAAACTCTCGAATCCCCGAGGACGAGACTGTATTTCTACAACGAAACTTGGTCCACTTGCCAAGTGGAGTGTTCGCAAAAACCTCATCAAGTTTCTGGCACCGTTGCTGGGGATTTGATGCTATTTAGTAATTCTTGTTCTTGTGATTTTGTAATTTTGTAAATAATTCATTTTGTGAATATTTATAATATATAGATATATTTGTTTTATTGTTTTTTGTGGACTCGCCTATCTGTGCAGACTTCTTGAACTTGCATGCGAGGCAAAACTCTAGCCGAAGAATTACATTTTGATCTTGAGATTGAAAGAACGGCAAGGAGGAATAACAGTAGGACAAGAAGGCTTAGACAGTTGGAGAGACTCCAAAAACAACAAAAAAAAGAAGAAGAAAGAACATATAACATAAATGATAAACCAATTTATTTCATCAAATTATTTTAAGAACTCAAGTTAAGGTATTATAAATTTGAGAAGGCAACTCTTGCCTAAGTTTTTATAGCTTGGTGCCTTCATTAATAATTCTAAGCACATCTAGCGGTAATTTTTCAATACATATAATCTTACATCGACTAAATTTGGCTAAAAGTATTATAAGTTGAGTTGTTGAATTATTCAAGAACGATATTACTTATGAATAAAAAATAACCATTATAATACATGTGTTGGCCGAATTCCTAATATATATGACAAACAAATGAAAGAAAAATACTTAAGAATACGATCTATATAATGACTTATCCAATGTTAATGGAATTGGTGCTATCATAATCCTTAAAAGAGGAGATAATTTAATTATAAAGCAGTTACTAAAGTTTAAATTTCCCATATCAAACAACCAAATTGAGCACAAATTATGTTTGTCAAACTCTTAATGGTTGAAGTTTCGAAATCTAAGTCTGTCACATTATGTGTAATTCATAACTATTGATCATTTAAGAGGAAAAAAATATGAGGTAATTCATCCCTTCATACTTAAAAAATGTGAGGAAGGTCTAAGATTCACTCAAAGATTACATTTTTAGTATATTTGATAGAGCAAAATGTAGGGGTCAATGCTTTATTAAGACTTATTATTACAATGAAAGTGAAAATCAACAAATCAATGACATAATAAACTTTACTAACTTCTAACATCTCAAAGTCATTTTATGGCAACCTCCAATAAAAAACGTCTGACTTGAATTTGAGTTTTATTTAAATATATGTTATTAAAATAATTGTATAAAATATGCTATTAAACTAATTACATAGACATGGATCTATATTCAAAATTATCTCATATTTTTTAGGTTTAATTTCCTTTATTTTTAGAATTTTTAATTAAGCATATAAACTTAAAAAGTTTAAATCATGTCTTTAATCTCTTGTAACTTTTGTAATTGAATTTCTCAAGTTAATTTATGACTACTTAAAACTGTCACAAAAATAATAATTTAAAAAAATTATGCAACTTCAAACACTTAATTACAAAAACAAATTAGAATATTAAGAACTTAAAATTATCTACCTATTAACATTTTTAATATATGTTATCAAGATTTTTTTTATTCTTTAATTTTTTTTGAGAAACTATTTTTTAAAAATATTTATTTAAAGACTAAAAAAATTTGACAAAAAGTAGATGAAGTAGAAATTTTAATTTTTTTTAATACACATCGAGGCAATGTTTTAAAATTTGGCTCGAATCACCTAGTTGAATTAGGAATCAGTGATCTAGCCAGTCCGAGGTTGAACTGGGAACCAATAGTTTAGTCGGTTCGAGTCTTGAGTTAGATTGTTCAAACATTTGACTCGTTACAAATCGAAGTGAATTAGTCAATTTTTTGTTTTGACCAATGAATCGAAGGATTAAATTGGTTTAACCATAAAAATGTTTTCCACTACTTTTAAAAAGAAATTCAAAAGAAAACACTATATGAGAATCAAACACCGTTCATGAAAACACTTATTATAATATATTTGTTTATAATATATACAACTTAAATAATTTTTATAATATATTATTAATTTTAAATAATATATAATAATACAATATAAATGTAGATATTATATATATACATATTATTATATTTTTAATTTATATTTATATACAGTTTAACATGCAATTATTTCATGAATTTCTTTATACAAAATAAAAATAAAAATAATTTTAAATAAGATAAAATTTATACAGATTAATTAATGAATTACCGATTTAATATTTGATCCATTCCACTATTCTAATAGATTTGAAGAAGGGTATGGAATTTTAAACTATGGATCCAGGTTTACTCCGAGTAAACAGTGACTAGTTCCGTTCCCACGCTGGGAATGCCAGCAACAGCAACCTTGGTCGTAGTGTGAGAAAATGTCATTCAGGAAAATCGTCGAACACCTTCCGTTGAGGCGCAGCACACTCTCTTCCTTCCACCTCTTCACTTCCCCACTCTCCACCCATTCCCTCCAACAGCAACAGCAACAGCAACAGCAACAGCAAGACCCTCACACCCTAATGAAACAAGACCCAATCCAAATATGCAGCTCTCTCTGGGTCAAAACCTTCTCCTCCCCCAAAACCACCTCCTTCCCCAACCTCACCGGCTTCCTCTCAAACTTCGACCTCTGGCTCTTCGCCTACCAACGCTCCTGCGCCCACGCCACCGGCACCTTCCCTCCGCGCAACGCCGTCCACGCCCCCCTCCTCCGCGACCTCCTCTCCCTCCGCAACGCCGTCCTCCGCGCCCGTTTCATCTGGAACGACAAAACAAACCCTCTCCTCCGCGCCCCCAACGACACCGCCCTTTCCAAGCCCCTCTCCAAACGCAAACTCCAAAACATTCTCCAATCCAGCGAGCCCTGCTTCCAAGACCGCGTCGTTCAGGAGGTTCTCTTAATGATCCTCGAACCCGTCTTCGAACCACGCTTCTCCCCCAAATCGCACGCGTTTCGACCCGGTCGAAACGCCCACACTGTTATTCGCACCATCCGGAGCAACTTCGCCGGTTACTTGTGGTTCCTCAAAGGGGATTTGAGCGAGATTTTGGACCGCGTGGATCCAAACGTTGTAATGAATTCCCTCGAAAAGGGTACTAGGGATAAGAAAATTCTAGGGCTGATAAAATCTGCTCTTGAAGGACAGAAATTGCGCGAGCGTGATGTGTCACACAAGGATGATAATAGTGAGGAGTTGAGGAGGCTTAAGAAGAGGAGAGCTACTAAAAAGAGGATTTTGAATGAGAATGAACCCAAACCCGATCCTTATTGGTTGAGAACGTTCTTTAGTTTCGCCCCTGAGGAGGCTGCCAAAGTGCCTTGTTATGGCCATTGTGGGATTTTGAGTCCTTTGCTTGCTAATGTTTGTCTCGATGAGTTGGACCATTGGATGGAGGATTTGATTGTGGAGTTTTTCAGGCCTTGTGAGTCTGATTCCATATGGAAGTATTCGATTGACGACGGGTGTCATAACCCTGCGTGGCCGGAGTTTGTGCCGTCGAGTGGGAGAGAAAAGACTAGGAAGATGGATTATGTTAGGTATGGGGGACATTTTTTGATTGGGATCCGAGGGCCTAGGGAGGACGCGGTGGAGCTGAGGAAGAAGATTGTTGCATTTTGTGAGAGTGAGTTTCGGGTGAGGTTGGATAATTCCAAGCTGGAGATTGAGCATGTTACTAGGGGGATACAGTTCTTGGACCATGTAATATGCAGGAGGGTGATACACCCTACCTTGCGTTACACGGGTTCTGGAGGTAACATAGTGAGTGAAAAGGGTGTGGGGACTTTGCTTTCTGTTACTGCTTGCTTGCAGCAGTGCATTCGCCAGTTTAGGCGGCTTCAGCTTGTGAAGGGTGATAAGGACCCTGAGCCGCTTCCGTGTACTCCCATGTTGTATTCGGGTCAGGCTCATACGAATTCTCAAATGAATAAGTTCCTGGAGACCATGGCTGATTGGTATAGGTACGCTGATAATCGCAAAAAGGTTGTTGGCTTTTGTGCCTATGTTGTTCGCAGCTCGTTGGCTAAATTGTATGCTGCTAGGTATAGGCTGAAGTCTCGTGCCAAGGTGTATGGAATAGCTTCACGAAATCTTAGCCGGCCTCTGAGGGAGAGCAGCAACAGTTCTGCACCTGAATATTCGGATCTTTTGAGGATGGGGCTGGTTGATGCAATTGAAGGTGTTCAGTTTTCGCACATGTCTCTGATTCCTTCATGTGATTACAGTCCATTCCCCAGGAACTGGATTCCGGATCACGAGAGGGTGTTGCATGAGTATATAAAACTTGAAAATCCCAAGTTTTTCTGTGAGTTGCTCAGATCTGTTAAGAAAAAAGGTTTGACTCTGCCTCAAGATGAAATATCTCAGATGGTATGGGACTACAAAACTCTTGGGGTTCGTTATTTTCAATCTAACAGGGATAAAGATATAAAATCTGATCTGAAGGAAATAAGTGAGAAAACTTGACACTGATATAAAGTTAGTGGAATCTTCTCAATATCAAGGTTCTGCTTCCAAATTGGTATGATCTTGTAACCAAATGGTTATGTGCATTGTTAAGCCGTTTCTTATGTTGAGCACTTGAGGGTAATAGTTTCCACCACTCTTCTTCCATTTTGTGAAGCCAAGGTCAATGATTTTCCCTACACGTTTTTACCACCCCCTAATGTATCTTCTTTTATTTTGCATTAGTTGCATAAGCTACCTACTTGTACCTTTATCAAAAGGCAACACAAGGAAAAATCAGCAGAGAAAAAAAAAGTGATCTAAAACCAGTGCATCCAAGTCAACAACCTAACTATAAATATGGCCAATTCCTGAGGATTCAATTCAACCCTGTGAACACTTAACTAACTCAACTGTAGCCTAGAGGATTCAAACACTCATGTCACTTTCCAGTGCCAAAAACTTCTTCCAGAGGCTCCGGCTAGATGAATTCCAAATGGGAAATATTCCCCATGGCAACTTTTTATCCAATGATGATCTTCTGCCATCTCTTGGAGCTAGAATAAACCAGGAAACTAGACTTAGAAGATACATAATCTCCCCTTTCAGTCCTCACCATAGGTGATGACCTGTTACATATATAGTTACAACAAGATACATCAAATCTCTTATGATTATTGCTTGTGCCTGCATCTTCTTATAGAATTACTTTGTTCTTCTCCATGTGACAATCGCAAGGTACTTTATATAACTGAATTTCCACTTTCATAAAATTTCAGGTGACCCTGTTTGCAGTGCACTGTGCAGGATGCTTTAACTATCTCATTGCAGATAGGTACCCAGATTCCAAAAGAACATGGATTGGTGCAGTGTATCCAAATTTCAAAGAAGAAAGTCTATGGGACAGATATGTCACTGCAATATACTGGTCCATTGTGACTCTTACTACCACTGGCTATGGGGACTTACACACTGAGAACACGACAGAGATGCTGTTTGATATAGCTTACATGCTGTTCAACTTGGGTTTAACATCATACATCATTGGAAACATGACTAACCTTGTAGTGCACTGGACCAGCCGTACCAGAAATTTTGTATGTACTGTCAAACTTGAGCTTTTTCTATTCTGCTACTGCTCAATTTATCAGTGCCAATTATTATACATGCGTTAGACTAAACTAAACTCTGTTTCTCATTTAATAATACCCTTCATAGTCACTATCTAGGACGATGTTCAAAAAGCTAGTTTTAAATATTCTGTAGGCCCCAGATTTTGTCATTATATTTGAACAGCAAATCTAGCATAATTTTCTTGTTAGTTTCATGTTATGTTGCACTTCAGTTTCATTTTCGGCTATAGCTTAGTATTTCCTTTCGTAAAAAAAAAAAAGAAGAAAAAACTTGTTCAGATAAGAGGAATTTTATTTATTCCCTCTAATGAAGAGAGGATTGGTTTTGGTGCCACAGAGAGCCACAGTCAAAGCAGCTTCTGAATTTGCTTCAAGAAATCATTTGCCCCATCGCATACAGGATCAAATGTTGTCACATATATGTTTGAGGTTTAAAACAGAAGGACTAAAGCTGCAAGAACCATTAAATGATCTTCCAAAGGCAGTTCGTTCAAGCATAGCACACCATCTGTTTTTTCCTGTCGTGCAAAAGGTCTACCTCTTGCAAGGAGTCTCTCTTGATTTCCTTTTCCAGATGGTAATACTAATACCCCATATGCCTTCTTTGTTTTTATTATCGTAACACTTTTTGTCTTTATTTTCATCGATTTTCCCTTTTGTTTTCTTCTTCTTTGGTTAAGCTAAGAGTGAGAAGAAAAAGATCTAATGTCAAAACATGTCAATATCTGACCCAGGTAACTCTGTAATAATAGGTTTCAGTTATGGTAGCCGAGTATTTCCCACCCAAGGAAGATGTGATACTGCAGAATGAGTCTTCAACAGAACTTTATGTGTGGTTTCAGGGGCAGTGGTGAGTTAGCTAACCCATGAACGATCTAGTAACCCATAAATAAATCTAGAAGAATGTATGCTGACAAAAAACAACCCTTTTCAAATAATTTCTTGTTGCAGAATCTGGTTCGCTGCATTGATGGGCATGATCATGTAAAAATATTCACCCATGACATTGTATTTATCTTCAGATTACACGGGGAAATAACTGAATGTAACTTTCTATCTCCACATTAACAATTCAGGTTCAGGGGAAGGCCGTTGCAGTAGATGCATATGGAGAGATTGGAGTTTTATATCAAATACCACAGCATTTCACAGTTCGGACCACAGAACTTTCTCAGATTTTAAGACTCAACAAAACATCCTTGATGAATGTTTTACAAGCAAATCCAGGAGACGCTCAAATTATAATGGATAACCTTTAAATGGTAAATAGGATATTGAAGGCCTCTAAACATAACATGGGGAATGTATAAATTTAATTTATCCTATATTCCCCCTCAACAATTATAAGTTCCTAAATTATCTTGTATTGACAGAGATTAAAGGGGCGTGATGATTTTGGCTTTGAATATCCAAGTACAGATTCTGGATTGGTTCCACGTGAACTGCTTCAAGGAGGTAGCACGAGAGGAAGCTCTTGTCACGAGTGTACAAATAATTCACATGAGCATTCATTAATGCATGAAGAGAGCACAAAGATATTAGAAACTCGGAGACCAGTTTGCGTAAGGTGACTAATGATGATCACTTAGTCACTAAACATAACTTGATCCCTAAGCATGATAGAATAGATCCTCGTTCGGCTGCACACAAAGGGAATCTAGACATTGTTGAAATTCTGCTTGAAAGAGACGCAAATCCTGATCCAAATTCCAAAGGGTGGACGCAAAGAGCTCCAATAAAACAGCCTAAAAACGAGCATTTGTGACCAAAAAATGAGTTGTGAAAACAAGAGTTAGATGAATTTAGAATAGAGATTGCGAACCCAGAAATCCTTGACCTCGACAAGATTGGCCCAACCAGAAACAGAAGACTAGATGGTACTAGGTCTATTAAGTTCCCATCGGAGAAAATGAACACAAACACCAAGTCAAGAATTTGTAACTCTCCAAGAGATAGATAATCGGCAAGGCACCCCAAGAAGATAGTAACAGTCCACTTGCTACATGGATGCAAGAGTACCACACGAGGACACCATGGAAAATTAATAATTCTGCCTGATACAGTAGAAGAGCTGCTCAAAATTTCTGGTAATCTTTGAACATTAAACAGGGCAATAGTAGTTTCACACACACTAAAGATAAACTTTTCTGTTACTTGATTCTTTATATTTTTTCTGGGGAAAGGGGAGGGTGAAGGGATTCTGCAAAACACAGATGCAGTATTCTGAACACAACAGAGTATAACTTTTTACTGCTTTCACTTTCTTCTAACTATAAACTTGCAAAATTGCAGCTGAAAAATTTGGCGGCTTCGACCTCACAAAAGTAATTAACACACAGAATGCAGAGATAGATGACATAAATATCATCCGAGATGGAGATCGTCTCTTTCTTCTGTGCAGCGATAATGAAATTGAGTTCATGATGTAACGAAAGATAGATAGCATCCTTAGGAACTTGATGATAACCATGTAATCAAATCATCAAAATGCTAAGCGTCCAGAAAGATATTGGAAAATTATACGATTCAATTACAAAAGCTGCTCTTTGTTCATGACTTGAAACAAAATTTTACAATCTTATATCAATTGAAAATGAGTCATAATCAATTGACGATCTCTGAAATGTGTTAGCTGGTGTATTGCATGATTTAAACAGTATTTCACAGTTTTTATTATGACTGAGAATCCAGCTAATCAATTCCTTTTCAACCAGAAGTGCTCTTGGTCAGTGTAAAAGATGCTAGAGTGACTTCAAAGAAGCATCTCACTTTGTGAGACCACGTTCTGTATTTCTAATAACTGTCTGTTGAATGCCTTTGATGAATAAAACTCATTTCTTTAAATTAATTGGTATAGGGTGTGCTTCTGTGTTGAAAACAAATTTATCCCGATGAATAAGAGAGCTGTCTGCAAAAAGCAAGTACAAATACTTGAGAGTTTCTCTTAGAAAGAAAGTCTCCATTTTGTCTCTTCTGTAAGGAGGAACACTAGTTACGTCGTCCAGAGAACAATATCCTCCGGTATCAACTTTTGTGTGCTTTTCAAAAGCTTCAAAGATTTGCCAACCCCATTCATGATATCCGTGATATTCATCTGATTATTTAATAAAAAAAGGAAAAGAGAAATTAAGCTTGTTTTCAGTGTTTCTTACATTTGCCCAGAAGAAATAGAAGTATATACTTAAACTAATCTTATACACAAGAAATAGAAGTATTATTTGTTAATGATAAATAATATCTCTCAATTCTTATTCATGCATGAAGGAAACCTTGATGATTGATGAACAAGTTGAGGGAAGAACGTTTTGAAGGTAAGATGTTTATCATTCAGTGTACCAGTCTTCAAGTAGCTTCCATTTAGATCCATTCCAACTGTGGTAGAAGCCTTCCTTTCTGACAGACCAATGAACGGTGTGATGGTCTTTGTCCCTCTTGGCATGGTATGCGTCCCAAGTGGTGAACCAGGGCCACCACGTAGCAGTGCATCCCAAATCTCGATCCACTGTGAGAGTAAGGTTGTGGCCATGGCCTGGTTCGAGATGAAAGGATGAACCTTCATCGCAACTAAGCACCAATTGCACCTGGGTTTTGTTGGGCTTGGGCAGGTCGTTTCGTATGTCAACAACAGTGTGTGGTCTGTGAGGCACAGCAAGTGTTGATGTGCTAAGACAGAAGAACGCGAGGAAGAGTAGAAAGACGGTGAAGAAGGGGTAACGAAAAGCCATTGTTTTGTGTTAATAGTGTGGGAGACGCAAGGGGCTACATTGGTTGAAATATATGTATTTAGTTGGGGTCTACAGTTCACGTATATCCCGGTGGGTGTACCTTTGCCAACACATCAAGAAAAGGAAAATGCTAACCCTTCCATCATGAATCACGATTCCTCTTTTGAGGAAAAACATTATTATATAAGCAAGACAAGAGTAGCTATCAAATTCAATATTTTAAAAAAGTGTAATGGATATATATTTGAAAATTTCTACTTTACCCATATGTATTTAAAAGGCTTCGGTAGAGTCAGCAACTGAATGTCATGTCATCAAATTTGAGAAACCTCTTATTTTTGAGAAAGGTTTTCACCAAATTACTAACTTGATTTTCAAATTCAAGTTTTGAATTTATAGTCCAATAATGATCCTGATGCACTATAGCAACCTAGAAAAAAGAAGAGAAGAAGAAAGCTTCAAGTTAGGACTCTTCTCTCTAGAATTTTCTCTTTCTAATAATCTAAAGAATATGAACTTGTGAATATTAGTCTTAAATAGAAACTTTATATACCTTCCTCTCTTAGAATCAACTAGACTTTTAGTTAGAGATCCCCAAGACTAGTTAGACTCTTGAGAGTTCTTCAACTCTTATGGTGTGTTTGGATAAAGTATTTTAATGAGGTAATTCATTTTTTTAAAGAAATTAAAATACTTTACTCTAATTTATGTTGTTTGGATAAGTTATTTTAAAAAGAATTTTAAATCTCTCATTTTATGAAACATTTCAATTAACTAAAATTAATAGAATTTGAAATTCCACCAAAAAGAGAAGAATTTGAAATTCCTTGTCTCAGTCACGCAAGCGTCTCTCACGTTCGCGGATGGGTCTCTCACGTTCGGGGTTGGCTCTCTCACTCTCACACTTGCGATTTGGCTTTTCGCTCTCACACTCGTGATCATCTCTAGCGGTTCTTTCTCTTTTCCGATTCACGTTCTCTTGCTCGCTCGATTTCTCCATTTCTGATCTTGATCTCGATTTCTTGCTCGCTCGTACTCGTCATTCTTTTGCGATTTTCGTTCTCCCGCATGCTCATAATCTAGATTTTCCTCTTGCTCATGATTGTTTAACTTACAATCCTTGATTTCTCCATTTGCTCAGGTTAGTTTTTCTTCTCTTTCAATTTTAGGGTTATATTTTAGTTCTTATTGAATTTGTATTAATCTAGGGTTTTATTTGCAGTTCCATGTTTGATTTCAGTAAATTCATACATTGATTCATTTGTCACCAATTAATATTTCTCTGTTTTGTTATGATATTTGTCTGCAAATGTCACTGCAGTATCAAAGCAAGCAGGTTGAGGAGGTTACCAGTAGAACTTCCATTAATTGTTCCTTCAGTCTCTCTAGAGGTACAATGCAAAACTTGGTTTGTTATGTGTTTTTCCAGTAGTTTTATCCTGATAGAAAATATGCATGACATAAACATAAAATAAAAAAAAAAGATTCACTATGGTAAAATATACGCATATTATCACCAAGAAGATATTTGGTTTGGGTAATGTGTGTTAACCTTTCTTGAAGAAATTTACTTTGTGGCTCAGTATCTGACTTTCTGAAAATGTTCTTATGTCCTGAAAAAGTATTGATTTCATTCCCCTCCAATTCCAAGTCCTGATAATAATTTTTTGTAAGTTATAAGTACACTGAGATGAAAGTATCACTTCTAAACTAGTTTCTACTGATTATTTTTAGTTGTGAAAAGGGGATGGATTACTGGGAACAAAGTATATTATACAATAAATTATATACGACCTTGACACCTTCTAGCTTTGATGGACATATTGCTTGCTCATTAGCTAGGCCAGCTGAGTTTGTTAGTGATATTTCCAGCATATTATCTGACTGTTTAGAAAGTTGATCTGAGCAAGACATGACATTCTGAGAAATTGAAGCGCTTGAGGATTTTACATCAGGAAAGTTATCAAAATTTAAGGATTCAACAAAACATAAATTTAAACTTGGTGGACCAAACTCCGCAGTGGTGGTGGTATCATTCAAAAATGTCCAACCACTCCAGTCAAGGGGTGAAACATCATCCTGCATTGACAAGAAGAAATTACAGAATTTAAATCCCAAACAAGAAAATTCATTTAAATCTTATAATTTTTTTAATAAAAGAAGAAATTTTGTAATGAAGAGAAGAAACTATAAAAACAAAGAAAAAACTAATAGAACAGAACTTCCTATCACTCAACATACTTGCGAGTGAAACCCCATCAAAAGGGTCACATGTTGTTTTAGGCCAAACACCTAATCTTTTTCACAATTCACAAATCCAAGCTAACCTTTGTTCACATTAGAGGTAGCAACATCAAATCATACCTGAACATTTTCAAATACATGAATAGAATCACATGTAACTCCTCTCCCTTCCCTCTTAGTAGGGATCAAACCACATTCCTCCTCCTGATTTTT